GCCAGGATCAAACTCTGAACCTCAAGAGAAGGAGCAATGTCGAGGCACTACTGGCCCATGTATCGGGACAGGAAGCTCATAGTCCCTGCAAGAGCTGCCATAAAGGATACGGACCCTGGAATGGATGTGTGGTCGTCAGTGGCCAAATGTGTGGTAGCTGCGCCAACTGCTGGTTCAACGCGAGCGGTTCACGCTGTTCTTTCCATGGTAAGCAAAAATGACCCACAAGCTCGACCAGATGTCAAGGTGTTGGGTGACTAACGAACTTGGCCACACAGAGAACAACCTCCCTCAGCACATGCCAGCCATACAGCTACAGCCTGTGCCACAGGTGTCGGCGAATACAAGCTTTGCCGGCACAGCGCCGATGGCTCCCGGCATGGCCCCCGCAGGCCCCAGCTTCGGGCAGCCAGGCGCCGATCCGACCATTGCCCATTTTGTGAAAGATGTGTTGGAAAGAGCCATGACGGAGGCACGGAGCGATAACCCCCACGTTCGATTCCAGCTCCGGATCGAAACGGCGGCGCGGCAGCTAGCATTGGCTAGCGCCGAGTACGCCGAGTTCCTCGCTCAGCAGGGGGGTCACGATCCGAGTCAGCATCCCGACCCAGAGGGCTCCGTGCCGGAGGCGGCGATGGGGGAGGGGGATAACGGGGCGTGAGAGAGGCTCTGTTCACCTCTATTCCCCTCCATGCTTTTTGCTTACATCTCTGAGTACCGAAGTATAAAAGACGAGATGAATTCGATCATCGGGACCGTAAGGCGTCTTCAGGTCTGCGAAGTTTCTTCGGAGTTGCCAAGATAGGGTGCCCGAGTCGCCGACTCTGCGCCTTAGCAGTTGGGCAGCAACTATCACGACGTATGGCCACAGTTTCTTTGGCGTCATCGTACCACTTTGCATTTGGGAGCAAGTTGGAGTCAGGTGTTCGACTTACTCGCTCATCAATGTCCTCCCTTTAACTCCCCTTGGCGCTTGCATCGTCAGGCGCCGCCCTGTATGCGAACACATGGACTCGGACAGGAACACGACAACGTCACGACGAAACAGGACGCGAGAAGGATTCGGGATATTCCCTGCTCAAAGAAACCAGAGTAGCCATGCAGCCAGAAATCAGGATGGACAACACAGACGACACTGAACAATAGCGGACATCGAAGGACAATGGTAGTCTGGCGGCTGGCTAGACCTCGAGCACACAGTCGTGTTCTAAGAAAGGGCCGGCTCACAGTTACTTGGATTTGGTCGTTAATAGTCGTGCAAACGCAGATAGATTGATACCAAGAGCTTGTCAAAAAACGCATAGGTGAAACTTTCACTACACCATTTCCGAGCCCATACACTGTAACCAGCGGGTCTAAGAGGGGCAAGCGAATATCTGGATGTATTGTCTCATTCATCCTCATTCGCTCACACTTGACTTCTTGGCTTACACAGTACAGCATCTCATAACGGCCACACTCCATTCCCAAACCTATAGGCTATGATATTGATCACAAGTCCGTCTCTGCAGGGGCTAGGATGTCTACTGCTGTCACACAGCCGGGGCTGTACAAACAATCTCGCCGCACCATGGTCCCGTCGCGGGAAGCGAAAACACACCCCTTGTGCCCTTCCCATCTATATTCCGTCTTGTCATACATCCTCTAGTTTGGGAAAAGATCCAGCCGATTTGCCTTTATCATCCGTTGCTGCTACGCCATTTCACCTAACCCGCCGGCTCCGTCCCCCCAGCCTGACGAATCGTCTGACATTCAACGTGAGGCCACCCATCCATCATCTGTTGCAACAGTCCGCCTTACACTACGCTGAGATGCTCACACACCTGGTATGGATATGGTTGATAAAGGGTGAAGGGCGGACAGCCACTTTACAGACTCCAGATGCCTGACAGCGTAGCATGCGCCCTCCCGCTGCTGAATCTCTCGCGTGCAAACCTCTACCCGAGTAACCTACCTTCAGCGAGTACAATATTCTCAGCTTCTTTCTCTGCATGTCTCATCAGTCCAAACTATCTGCCCAATCAACTCGTCGGTTTCGGCTTCGCTCGGGGAGGGCAAGAGGGATCCATGCTCCGTCTGCGGTCTGCGGACTTATTCCAACCGTGCTCTTTCTCCTAGGGTACGCAGCTTACGCACCGGCATGTACTGGATCAATCTTCGTCCCAAGAACGACAGAGAAACCCCCATATATAGTTCACAATCGATCCCAAGTCAACTCACATAAACCTTGGGAGCCCGATTTCAACGCCCCCCGACGGAAAGCTATTTTACACACAGACACACACCAGCTGCCAAATTAGCCCCCCTTCTCCCTTCTCAGCGGTCAACGTGAACTCTGATCTGCCCGTAGTACTCCACCCCACCCGTGATGGTCTACAGCAAAATAGACATTTCTCTATTCCCGGGAAGACGTGGACGGTGCCCGTGGGAAAATGTTCAAAGCGCGATCCCTTCCGCAGTCGGTGGGCAGAGGCGATTGCGAAAGAGAGCCCTACAATGCTGTGTAAGTGTATTAGTGTAATTAGTGTACATGTAAATTTGGGCAAAAAAACAAGAACAGCAAACGCAATCTGGATGAAACGTCACGCCGGCACTCCACACAACCCCCAACTTTATCTCAATTCTCTCTGTCCTTTTCGTGGCCCCCCTTCTCATCTAATCTGAAGCCTCCAAAACAAGTACACGTGTGTTACGGAGATGTTGTAAGGAGCGAGATCGCATCGTGCCGAATTCCCCGACTTTGTGAGGCGAAGCAAGGCAAAGCATACCCAAACCCTGCCCGTCCAAGTCTTCTTGCTCCGCCCTTTGGATCGTTGGAAATGAAAGAGGCCCTTTGGCGGAGTACTCGAATCCGGTCTACGTTGGAGACGGTATTTTCTGTATCGAGCAAGGTCACGTCGCAAGAATTGGCCAATATAACGACTGCGTATTAAACATATCACAACTCATATAACTCATTGGTCTGAAGAAGGGAATGGAGGGGCCGCTGCGGGCAAGGGCAGGGCATACCAATCCTGCGACGTGTTTGAGAATCGGGGGAGAGGGTGAGCAACAGCATTCGTTCTTCAGACGGGATGAAAGGAGATGATCCTTACCCAATATCACGAAAGAACGAAGCCGCCCCCCCCCCCCCTCGCCTTCCGACCCCGGCACCGGATCTCACCTCCAGCATCACCAACACTACATGCCACCAAACATCACTGTCTATACTCGAGGCAATCCGTCTGTGTGCAATGTGCAGATTCGGGGGCGGCGGCGGGCAACCACGCAACGCAATACCCGCCAGCCCCATGAGCTTAGCTCGCCTCCGCCTGTCCTTGGTAAAAGCACTTTATGCCCAAGGGCCTGCCATCCTTGTCGACGATCACTCCAACGGCTTCTTCACCATCGATTCATCCCCCCTTCACCTGCGTTTGCACTTCGCGATACCTATACATGCCAAGCTTCAATTCACTCACCTTACGAACGTACCTATTCCCCCCTTTTCCCTCTCGTCTCGAGTGGCAAAGACCCAAGCGAATGGCAATAGGTGACGCCACCTCCCAGAGCAAGCTCGCGCCACCATCGCTTGCTTCTACACACAGACACAGCCGATAACCGCGCCTCCCGTCCCGTCCCATCCCAAAATGTGTCGTCAAAGTCTTGAACCATATCTCCTTATTGCAGTACTGGAAATGTGTGCGTGCTAGTGCGTTCTTGGAGACCTCTCCGTATACACACGGCCACATTCGACTCTCTCTCCAAGCCCCCCGCGTCCCTTTCCCATTTACCTTTCCCTCGTCGCCGTCCACCCTCTATCATGGAACTCAAAATTCTGGACCAAAGAAAAGCGGACAGAAGAGGCGGGTAACGAAGACGAGGAGGCGGCCGCGGCGCGGCGGCATAGAAAGTGTAGAGTAAAGGACCCCTTGCGGCCTTAAACTGAATTTCGAGAAATAAAGATGGTGTGGTGATTGTGAGGCAATTGCAGTTGATGACGAAGACGAAGACCTTCAACCAGACCTATACCAAGCTACGCTACACTTCGTCCGGGAGGCTTAGGTATGATTGGGCGCTTTCCCCTTACGTACATTACGGGAAATATATCCCATGAACGGAAGCGGTGTTGCCTTGCAAAGACCGCAAACGGCGCAATGCGGAGAACGGAGGCGGGCACGACGACGCCGGTCCTGGATGTGGCGCCGGTTCTCGACCAGCCTTCCGTCCTAAGCTAGCTATCCATCTTGGCCTACTGCGCGACGGCAGATGGCGATCTTTACAATGGGATTCTGATGGATGTTGAAGGTGATCATGTCTCGCAGACTAGCTGCAACCGCAGAACGCCATGTATCACCAGATCTCAACGCTCCTGGATGTGCATCGTAGACAACACCCGGTAGACCTTCCCGTCGCGGGTTCACCTCATGAGTGAGATGCGTAAAGAGCCTTCGAGGAACGGCCACTTAGCTACGCATCATGTCACAATTGCACGAGATTAAGGAGATTTTCGTAATTAAACAGAATATTTAGCCACCTTCCATCCATCAGGCTCTCTCAAATGCATTCAAGTTCATTGCTTCTTTTCCTCTTGCTATCCATCCATGGGGGCCAACTTCCCATCTCTCTCCTTCTCTCCTGCCCCCATCTCACTCTCTCACTGCCGCTGCCCGCCCGCAGTAGGATTCCGTCTTCCGCGGCGAGCCCGTCTGCTGGTCGAGACATCATGTTTGGTACAGAACTACCTCCCACCTTTCCCCTCTTATTCCTGAACGCGGGCCAACAATAGCACAACCAAAAACGTATACCGCCTGATTCGCGAGGCAATATACGAGGGGATAGCCGGGAGGTAGGAAGAAAAATACAGTCGCGTAATCAAGGGAATCTTGGGAAACCGTCGGGTCGCCGTCTCATCGTCGGGAAGAAAGTTAATTTCATGAGCCAGCCTCCCCACGACGCTTTCTGGCTTGGGTCATGCAATTAGAAGTAAAGGGTATTGTAGAAAAAGCAAACGTTTTTGTTGTTCAAATCAGACCGCACAACCGCAGGTTCTCTTGAATGATGATGTCTAGTTAAAAGGTTAGCTTGAGTCTCTTTGTGGGCCTTGTCTCACGCAGTGCATGATGAACGTTAGACGTACCATTCACTGCCGCCATGACGAAGCGGATCTGAGTTGTGTCTGTCGCGCAGGTGAAGTGCGTGTAGATTTGCTTAGTCTCATGCTGGTTCAAGCTGACGAATCGGTTGAGAATGTAGTCGCACGCAGCAGCATAGTCATCTCCGCCTTCGTAATCGGGGAAGTAGTTCTTCATCGGGCTGACGGGGAGCTTCTCCTTGAAACGATCGATCTTGTTCAAGAAGAGGATGATAGACGTCTTGATGAACCATCTTGAGTTGCAGATGGAGTCGAAGAGAGTCAAGGCCTCCTGCATACGGTTGACAGTCTCGTCCTCGAATAGCAGCTGGTCGTACTCGGAAATGGCGACCAGGAAGAGAATGGTAGTGACGTTTTCGAAGCAGTGAATCCACTTCTTTCGCTCAGATCGTTGACCACCGACATCGAACATTCTGTAGGTCAGGTCGCCAATGATGAATGTGGTTTCCGTGATACCCGTTGTCTTGACACGCGATCGGAGGACATCCTGGTCGTTGGGCATGTAGTCAGGAGCGGCGATACGCGCGATATTATCGAAATAGCTGGGTCTCGTTAGCGCACATGGCAATTTCCCACACGAGGAGCAGTCACTCACTATCTTGCTGAATCGTTGAGCTGGTATTCGCGAGAGCGCTTGAAGCACTCTTGCACACCTCGATCCTTCCACAGCGCCTCAATCGCGCTTCCAACTTCAGGAGGCAGAACATCGCCCTCGATCTGGGCGGGCTGCATGAAGATGGTTTGGACGTGGTACTCCATGCGCTGGTCCTCAAGGGGCAGCTCCAAGGACTCCATTGCCTCGAGGATGACACGCATGGATTGCACCGTGTTGCTGAAGATAATCTCCTTGAAGGATTCCCGTTCATCGCGTGAGTAGCCGCCCTCGTGAATCAGCTTCATCTGTTTCAGAATTGTCGACTTTCCGGATTCACCAGCACCTATAGAACTGTTAGAGAATCATTATGCAGCGATGTGATGATTGAACGTCGTCGGATGGCGCTAGGTACGGCGCGCACAGAACATGCAATCGCGGGCAGATGTTGACGTACCCAGAAGAAGCATCTTGATCTCGTTGCGCTGCATCATCTTATCCCTCTTCAGCTGATTCTCGATTTCCTCATTGCGGGCCTTGCCCTCCTTGTCCTCCGTGCTCATTCCGCAACCCATTTTGGCGGCTTGGTGTCGTTGGACACGACGACTGGTAGAATAAAATTGATGGGATTAAAGGGAATTGGGGATTCAGTAAAGAATTGGGCGTTGCGCGTTGGAGACCTGAAAGAAGCAAAGCTTGTTAGCCAACCACGTCGCAGGTGGATGTGATGCCGACGGGCAAACGAGAGAGACGGGTCGAATTGTTTGGGGGCGACGGGCTGGAATGCGAAGTTGATCCAGGCGATGGCGGATAAGAGACGAAGAGTCGAAAGGTCGAGGGAGGATGCTACCATCGAGCGAGCGGGCAGGTGGAGGTGTTTCTCCTTTCTAGGCTGTCTCTTTTGCGTGTCTCGTTCGTTTCGCTTTCTCAATTCCCAGTGGCTCTATGTCGGCGCCGGCAAGTTGGAAGATTCGTGGTGTGTGTGTCTCTCTCTCTCGCCTGCATGCGGTAGGAAAAGTTGGATGAAACTCACCTCTTGGTCGTTGGATTGATGATGGAATCACTCAATTGACGATGAGTCGTCGAAAGACGCAGCAAACAGGAAAAGAAAACACGAGCCGTTGGGCGGACGGTGGGAGGATGGGATGGTCGCGACAGGATTGGGAGACCAGGAGCAGGAGAGGGAGAGAGAAAAGAGAGGAATGGGTTGGGAGGTGCCTCTAATGTGGAGAGGAGAGATGGGAAAGGGCAAGGGTGGAGGAGTTATGAGCAAGGATGGCGGCGACGGTGCTGCGAGGAACCAGAGGGTAGTGGGAGAAAAAGAGTGGGCGGCAGTCGTCGCCGGGGCGGACAATGCGCTTCGGGGCGAGGTACGGGGATAAAAGTACACTGTGTGAAAAAGACGGAGAGAGGCACGGCGGAGGCGAGGAAATGGCGAATTGGCGGTCTTTCCAACTTGGTGGACAATGAGGAGGGGGTAAGGCACGCCGCATGGGGGGAGGGCACGGGGGGGGGAAGGAGGGAACCAGTGGCACCAGCCTGTGGTGCCAGACGTGGTCCACGGGGTTTCCTACCAGGCTGGTGTCTGTCTATGTACGCTGTACCTGTACCGATATGAGGCGTCCCGTTCTTTTGGACTTCAGATTGACAGCCCCGACTGGCTGTACCTGGCCATGATGGAGGAGTTGGCAGCAAGACTAGTGGCTTTTTGGGGGCCATCGCCGGGCGTCCTCGACACTGAAGCAGCCTGGTGGGGGACGCTGGACTCTGGAGGCTTCTTCCCGTGGCCAGTGCGCGGCAACGCACCTCACTTCACTTCACACCTCAAACTCGGGCTCACTTGACTTGAACTCATCACCAGCTCGCACTTATTTCAGCCATTTGCATTTCACATATGTATATACACACTATGAAAGTACTATAATTTCCATGGCTTTCGCAAGCAATACATAAGAAAAGCTTCAGAGATCAAGGCCACGAGCATAGATAGGTACGATGTGGGCAATGCTTTGGACGCGAATATCCAGCTACCTTCCAACCTGTCCGTACGGCGCGTCCCTCTGGCTATAGTGCAGGGGCCAACAGGGGCTGGGAGTTCCAGAAGCACGGACAAGGTACATGTCCTGGCCTTGGTTTTGGTGCTAAGCTGTCTCTGGTGCGGCCCGGTACGTATCCACCTGTACCTGCTTTATGTGATATATCGCCTTACATAAGGGCATGTACGTACTTCTCGATGCATTTAGCCCCAGTTTCTCGTCTGGCCTCCCCGGTCGCTATTGTCTTAGGTTGTCCTGTCATCGCCTGTCTCTTCCTTTCCTGAGCCAAGCTAACGTCGATGTTCAGCGCCGTCTTCTCGCCCCGAGCTGACACTGAGAGATGCGGTTAGAGGCACCGCAGATCGGGAAGCCGATGAGATGGATGCTTTGTACCGTCCACAACCTACCTATTCCTTACGCGCCTACACCCACGCATACTCCGTACCTACACTACCTTTGCTCTGCTCCTGTGCAAGTGTCAGAAACACACGGCCAGACTGACGAAGACCTCGCCGACCAATCGACGACAACCTGCTAGACCTGGATGGAGACGATGACCAGGAGTGTCTTCCAGCGGGCGTGGATCCGCACCCAGGCCTTTGCAACGTTGAAATCACCGCGACCGGGCCAATAGCCAGTGGAGAAGAGCTCGGCGAGGTCTCATCCAGCCAGAGGTTGCCCGCAACGAAGCCGAAGTCCCTTGGAGTCCCTGGCGTCTCTGGGCGGGAAAAGAACGGGGGAAAGGGGTCTCGCACTGGTCTGCCTGGCCTGACTGGTCTTGAAAAGTCCTTGTTCGCCGCCCTGACTAATGTAAAATTTCCTCGCGCTACCACTGACCATAGACCAGGCACGGAGATGGCCTCTCTGGGCCCTGTGTGAGCTCTTCCTTCGGCCGGGTACGAATCCGCTAACTGCAATGGGACTCCATGTCTCTCCTAGACTACCGCTACGGATACAATCTGTTGCTGTGTGGTAGTTAATATGGATCAAGCCACCTTTGGTGACTGGTCTAGGAACAATAATTAGGTGAGAAGCACGAGCCAATGCCAATATGAACCGGAACTTTGACATATTATCTTGAGCTGACGCCCATTTAGCAAATTGACGGTTCGCGGTCTACAGCGACTTGACAACATCATGATGATTCCTACGGGTGCAATCTGTGAACTCCGTAAGCGTCGAACGGCAACCCATCCTCTGCCGACCGGCAGTAGCATCTGCGGATGTGGAGGACTCGGGAGTCGGTCGGGGAGGGGGGACCGCGGGCGGGCTCAGTTCAGATTCAGTCCCAACCAGGAAGAAGAAAATCTGCACGCTTCCTTTTTCGCAACCATCTGCACCATAGCCTGCAGCTGCAAGCAACGCCAGACCATCCGCCGCGGCCAAGCAGACGAGAGATCCACCCATCCACAACCTACCCAACATGGATGGGTTATGGAACATTGGAATTCGAGTAACGTCCTTCCATCAAAACTTCCATTGCAATTCTCGAAACACTACTGTCCTCGTCAGCCGCCTCCCTAGGGCAAGGAGGTGAACGAAGTTGTTGCCGTGGGCAAGGTCCTATCCACACCTTCAGGTCCTCCACAAGATCTACCCACCACCACGGCCTCGTTCATTACGGTGGCCACCCATCATGGAGTGCGGGTACTCCGTATTTACCAGGCCTTTACCCTACATACTCGTTGGTGTGCACAGATCTGGATCTTAGTGTTAGTTGGACGCCAAACTGCATTGCACACTTACCAGACAAACAAGCAAAAGACCCAAACTCTCCATACACTTGGCCGTCACCTTTTGATTCGCCCGCAAACGCTTCTGCAATCTGCACTGCCTCGACCTTGCTTCAGAAGACAGACCATGGATGTTGAGGTGGGACAAAGAACCCGCATGCTCAAAGGCAGCCTTCTCTCAAAACAGGCCTAAAGTACATGGAGACCAGTAGCATTCCCTTTCTTTTCTACTCCAAAGTGGGAACTCATGCTGTCAACTCAAAAAAAGAGCCAGACGCCAATGGGCCGGTCCATCGCTCTAGTTCTCTTTCATCCATTAGGAAGAACCGGGGCCGCATCGGAGCTACGGTCCCACGGCCATGGCGGCTACTCTACTCATCACCGTTCTAGCTCGTACAAGCGTCTCTGCCACCACATTCGGCGTCAACGATATTACCTTCAGACCCGGAAATCGTATGCATAGTCTCGTCCTGAGATCGTCCTTGCGCTTATTGGGGCAGGCAGCGGAATCTCGGATTGCCGTGATATCGGATTATCGCGAGAGATCCCGTCTTCTTGTCCACCCTTGCGTCCACTTAAGATGTTTGGCCGCTCCACCTCTTTTATGCGGTATACCACACGCCGTCTATCGATAATTGGACAGTGTTGGCCAACTACTCTCAACGAGATCGTCGTCTGGGACACATTGAAAGATCCTTTTGATCAAAGAACGATATGATAAAAAAAAAAAAACCGCTTGCTTGCCCTGGCCTATGTGTTTGCTTCAAATCTCGTCTCATTTAGCAATTCTCTCTTGTGTGCGTGGCGCAAAGACTCCAGAAGCAAGAAGCTAACGTAATGGGAAAAGAGTAAGCAAAATATACTTAGACACATACAAATCCTATCATCAGGGGCAGTGGCGTCCAACGCCTCGACCAACTGTTCGAAAGCCCAGTTTGGATCTTGACTATCTGAATAATATTCTAGCCGGCTCACATTAGGAGCTGTCATCACGCCAAGACAAGGCTCTATGTCGAATATTCCTCTACCCAAACCCAATATCAAATAACTGGTCGACAATAACAGCATTGTTTGCGGCAAGTATTCATTTCACTATTTCCGAGTTTCCAACATCTTTGGGCCTCCGACTCAGCCCGAGATGTTTGCTTTTTACCAGTCCACGTACTCCTTCGCGTCTGCCCTCGGGCGCTTGCTACTTTGCTGCAAGCTGCCGCCAAGGTGATTCACCTACATACGAGTTCAGTGTTCAGTACTGGCTACCGCTACACACGATTCTGCTTGCACATGGTACCATCGGCGGATCAAAAGCTAGTACTAACAAAATCCTGCCAGTAAACAAGATCTACGTCTGAACGCGATAATCTGTTCCGGTACCCAGATCCCCATTGACGCACGGGCTTAATAAACCCGAAAAGTCGACTTCGATGTCTGTTCAAAGAATCGCTCGGCCGTGTTTGAGCATCGAGCAAAGCAGGCTTTGCACTAAGAAAGCCACCGACCCAAGCTGCTCGGCAATAGACGAAGCTGTGAAGCTCAAAGAGAGACATCATTCATACTGACTCGGTCCTGTTGCATTGATTGGCTGTCAGAGCGCCTCGACGGCTTAGATCTTGGAAATGGTACTTGTAGGGCAATCATTGCAGCCAGCCAATAAAACGCCACACGAACATGATCATGTATCGAGAGCTAAGCACCACATTAACCACAAGTCACGGTATCGAGATGGGCGCTCCGACTTGCGATACTGCCGGAGCCACCCTCTTAGTCGGCCGACTTAAAATATGAAAACTTACTTCTCTGGAAAGCAAACAACAGAGCAAACAGACCAGAAGCGGTATCTACTTCGCAGGCTCACCGGGGAGAACCGTCTGAAGCCCAGGGCATTCGGCGCTTCGTCGTTACGTCTAAACCCTTACAGGGCGCACAGATTATCACGTCTTTCACATCGAAGTCAACGTACGCGTTGACACATTGGAGAGGGTAGGTATCTCTTGATTTACCGCTCAGTGACATGAGAGCCAACGCCTGGAGTTTGGGACGGTTAGACTCCACCATTTTAGCTGCCTTGAAACACCAAGCCATCTTAGCCGACCATGCAAGGGCAAAATATCACCCACCCTTGCTGGTAACTGTATGCATTAACACAGTCAGGCTGTTGTGAATCTCATCTGCGTTACGATAATACGATGGCGGTCGAAGCCTCCTCGAGGCGGGCACAGAAAGATCGGACAGTGATCTCGGGGTTCCATTCCGCTGACCTGCAGGCGTGCACTTCCCGAACCTGTTTGGACTTGTCGATCATCACCAAATTTTGGACGGTTTTCTGGGGGGGCACAACGGGGCTATCGAGAATGTGCCCCTACCATGCGGTATCCGTACCAGGTAACACCATCCTCACTGTCGAAAATACGGTCTGAAGTGGATTCTCAGTATTTCATGCAATGGATAGACCTTGCTCTGGCCCCTCGTTTGTTGTAATTCGGAGTCCAGACTTCTTGCCTCTCAGGTCTCACTCGATGGCACGTCTCAAAGGCGAGACTCTCTACAGTGTGCTGGTGGGGAAGCAGCTCCAGATCGACAAGCCAGATGAGGGACATCTGCTTTTGCAAACCAAGGCTTTAGCAGCCGCCGTCCGAGAGACTTTGACAAGAACGCCGTCTAAAGCGGCTCTCAAAAGGGAACCAATAGAAGCATTTGACAAGCCGGCGTACCTAGACATCTCGCATCCGAAATAAGGTAATTTCGCACATTCACTAGATGCATTGCAAGCAGCCGGTCGGAAACTACCAGAGAAACTATTCCCGCCTGGTACAGGGAGGCCACATGGCAGACGAGCTGCCTTTTCCTCAAAGTAAAGCGGGATCCATCCAAGCCATTGGCAGAGGCTGGGGGCTCATAGTACGTAGTCATCGCACGCCTGAAGAGGCAAATCTGTGGAGTTGCAAAAAGTCGTTCCACGGGGGATCACGAGAAGGCTCTTTTTAATTGAAGAGGACCCAAAATTGTGGAGGCTCTCTTCGTTTCCGAGGCCCGGTCCCATCCACTCACACCGTCTTCGTCGTCAAGGTCGTCTTGCCCATTTGCCTCTGCCGCCCACTGACCCAGTGCAACTCCATGAGTGGACGAATAGCAGTGCGTACAGTTGGTGAACGCGCCCTAAAAAGTTGGCAGATGGAGCGTTCCCTGCGCGTCGTCCTCTTGCATGTCATGCAGGTACGAAGATGGTGCTCTGCAAGGTCGTTGTAGTAATGAGCGGCACCCTCTTACGATCATCTGCTGTTCCCCTGAAGACTCCCCCTAGTGAAGGTTACCTTTCGCGGAAAATCGTCATTATTCCATCTGGACTTTGGCCGGCTAGTTCGGACGGCGTGTGCTTTGACCTTGGGTACTGACGATTGGGTTTCTCCTGTTATGGAGTATTACACAGTAGATGCTGAAGCATCCGGAAAGGAGAAAAACGAAGAAGAAAAAAGAGAACGTGGTGTTCTAGAAGGGCCCACCGAAGCTTTCCGCCCCTGAGCCTGCCTCTTGTGTAACCACCATCTGGCACATCATACAGACGAGCTGGCGTCCAATCCATGACTCCAGCGCTCCTTCGTTGGCCACCGTGGATATCGTCCTCCACTCCGGCTGTTCGAGTTTTGTTTCGGACTGGACTAGATCCTCATGGATCCGGAAAGCTGTGAAACGAAGCCTCTTCGCTGTGTGCTCTAGAATACTGTTATGCGGATGATTTGAATTAGGACAATTGGGAGACGAAGGATATCATTCTACCTTGGGGAGACATACAGAAACCGCGGAACATACGGTAAAGCGCCACCAACCAGAGTACGGGTTCAAGCGATGCCTGTGGCGTTCGCAGCCGCCTGAAGAGTTAGAACGATGTCCAAGCATAGCTCCTGCCCCTGTAGATCACACAAGTCACTTGAGGAGGGCTTGTGCGTCCCCAGAGTCCTGGACACAGAAGACACAGCCACACAGCATAGGAATGGAACCTAGACTGATAGACCAAGATGGGGCGAATGGGTTCGCCCATCATGGAACCGGTCGTATGGCAGAACCGTACTGCACCGGGCAGCCAGAGACGGAAGCCGGACCGGCCAGCACAAGCGTCATCGGCCGGAGCAGAGCCCCGCAATTACGTTGCCGGCACCGAAAAACAAGCTTGCTTAGCGCCGTCATACCAACCTCTCTGCCCGCATCTTGGACGCGAACTTGAAGCTTGTTTTGCTCGCGGCCGCATTATTCTTCTTCATTCCTCTGCCAATTCCACCACGGACAGCGTCTTGAAGTCAATTGAGCGCGCAAACGGGCAAACATGTCTATCCCTATGAACCGCCTGGGCGGCCGCGGTAAGCATCTTCGCCATGTTTCGTTTTCGAATCCTCCTAGAGCCATGGCTCGAAATCCGAGACCGCCACAAACAGGCCCGGATCAATACAATGCTGCTGCTCGACATTTGGGCCCCGGACGCGCGCTGACACGAGCATAAATTTTGCAGCCTTCAGCCACGCCGACAACGACGACGACGATACGGAGCGCGAGTACGATCGCCTCCGTGACCTCGCCCGCGAGGAAGCCAACAAACGCAATCAGGCCTTTGAGCGCGTAAGTGGCCACAGCCTAAGCCTAAGCCCAAGCCGAAGCCTTGTCCAAAACACGTGGTTTTGAGTTTTGTGTGATGCCGCAAGACTAACACCAACCCTCGATGCTCTCCAGTCTCAACAAGCATACCAGTCGGGCGATGGCGCGGCCGCCAAGGAGCTCTCGAACGAGGGCAAGCGCCACGCGCAAAAGATGGAGGACTACAACCGCCAGGCGTCCGAGTTTATCTTCCGGGAGAACAACGCCGCCGGCCGTGTGACGGGCAGCTGCGTCGATCTGCACGGGCAGTACGTCGAGGAGGCGGAGCGCATCCTCGAGGAGCGCATCCGCGCCGACCGGGCGCGGGGCCAGGAACACTTGCACGCCATCGTCGGCAAGGGAAACCACTCGACGGGCCACGTGCAGAAGTTGAAGCCGAGGATCGAGGCCATTTGCCGCGAGATGGGGCTCAAGTACTCGACCGAGGAGAACGCCGGCCGGATCTACATCAACCTCCAGGGCGGGGATGCAACGATGCCGCCGCCGCCTCACACTGGTGGTGGACAGCAACACCACGGAGGCGGCCAGCAGCAGCATCATGGTGGCCAGCAACAGCACCATGGCGGTCAGAACCAGCAGCACGGCGGGCAGACCCACGGTGGACAACAGCAGCACCACGGCGGCCAGAACCAGCAGCAAAACCAGGACGAGACTGGCGACTTGGTCGTCAAGATTCTCAAGAAGCTGGAGAAGGCTTGCTGTATCGTCATGTAAGGGGGTCTTGGTCTCTGTTGTGGCCTTCTCCGCTTGCTACCCCCTTTATGGCTTTCGGCTGCCGAGACGCATCATTGTATGCGGCCCGGCCTTTTTTTGAACCTTGGATACCCAGCGGACTCAACGTGAAATGGTAATGTCTTCTATTCTTCTGAACCTATGTATATATAGGCTTGATACCCTGGCGAGACGTCACTGGACTCGGTCGCTTCGGGATTGGATATAGGGCGACGTGCGTTTTGTCCACGTCAGGATAACTTAAATACATCATTCAAGAATTTTTTTGATATAATTGGAACCAATTCCTCGTCCACGGTGTTTGCTGTGTCTTGAAAGAAATAAACAATCTCGATACCTACGAAATCTCGAATTGGAATTGATCTTTTGAATTTGACAGCCGAGGCTAACGCTTCAAAGCTGTGTAGAGAGCCCTCGCCAGTGCCGGATGACAACCAATATCGGCTCGGCATTCAAAGTAGTAGAGCAGAGTCTCCCAGATAAAGGCAGTGACTCTCGCGCATCGGAATTCCCATTGAAGTCTATGCATCTATCCGAGGTGAAGCTCCAAACGAAATCCCGATAGGTTCTTATCGTTATCGGAGCTCTAGCGCTGTCTGATTTATAGAGATCTGATTGGCCAGCGCTGACTGGGGGTAAGGCAAGCTTGCCTGCCATCCCGTTCGGCGCAGCGCTGCTCTGCTGAGGAAGTGCTTTAACCAAAGAAATTTCAACCATCGTCATCGCCCCCAGAATCAACCACAACTTCCATCACGTACCACCCGGCCTCGCATATACCCTGTCAACTTCACGAGTTCATCAGATCAATCACATTTCAAAATGGACGCGTAAGCTTTACCCCCCTTGAATGATCCCCTGGAAGTACTAGAGGAACATAGAGATCAGACATAGCGACTAACGCGCAATTCATCACCAGCCTTACCAAGACCGAGGAGGCCCAGCTCCAGCAGAGACTTCAGAAGCGCCAGGTCAAGGAGTTCATGAACGTACGTTTCTCTCTTCAACCTCCCATTCCGCCATTCACAAAAAAAAAACACGAAACAATCCGTTCCTCCGTCTCCCATGTTTCTTTCCTCCTTCGGTCGCTGTTCGAAAAAGCGATAAGACTCCCAAGACTCTGTGGCTAATCCCTTCCCCCCCTTTTTACAGCTCTTTGGCAACCTCGTCGACCACTGCTTCACCTCGTGCATCGACGACTTCACCTCAAAGTCCCTCTCCTCCCGCGAGACCGGCTGCATCACCCGCTGCATCCAGAAGCAGATGTTCTCCCAGCAGCGCCTCAGCGAGCGCTTCCAGGAGCACAACGCCCAGATGACGGCCCAGATGCAGGGACAGTAAATCCACAGTCGAGAAAGAAATCCCAAATGATGTAAAAAAGAGAGAAGAGAATGGGCACGCAGAGGGTGTTCGATAGAGCGAGCGCGCGCGCGCGTGCTGATGTAACAGTATTCCCAGCAAGGCAGGCGCAGACAAGCCCAGTCGGAGGGGAGAAGGCCCTGGGATTTGCAACATTTACCACACACGATCTCCAAATTAACGAAGCCAGGCGAGTGAGGTGGGACCGACAACCACGAACGAGGAGGGTTTCCTGTATATTACATTATGTTACGTTTTCCTTCCTCTGACCGGTGGTTAGAAGACGTGGCATAGTACCTTTATGCGGGTTTGGAATAAACACCGCTGTATGAAGGGAGAAACGAATGGATAAAATATCTACTCCATGAGCCGTCGAGACCGTTTGATTGTATGCCATCAATTCGGGAGACAAAAATCACAGTGAAAACGGGCGTCATTTTGGTCGTACCCAGCAATCTGCTAGGGGTATCCACAAACTTGATCCTACGTAGACTATGGGATTTCCCAGTGACGATGGCTGGAATAGGTATGATGCACCCACGTTTATCCTACACACTTAAACGCCTAAACCCTTTTGTCGTTGTTCCCCTCCAAATCATTCATTCCCTTGTGGCCGACGATAACCCCTTCGGCTTCATTATTTCTATCTCAACGTCCATCCTCATCCTTCCTCAAGACTCTTCGAGGTCTTCGCTTAATACTTCCCTCACAGCCTCCAACTGCGAGAGGACCTTGCTCTCCAGGACATTTCCTGGCTGGCCATTCTCATCCGACGCGCCAGTCTTGATGCTCTTCCACTCCACCTCACGCTGGCCCAGCGGCAGAAGTCTGTCGCGCAGCAACTTGCGGCTCGATAACCAGAAGTCGATGTTTTCCAAAAGGGAGGCAGCATCCCATTGGATCTCTGGGGTATCACGGTTGTTGGCAGTTCGCAAAGCGGCGATAACTCTTGTCAACAGAGCAAGAGAGTGCACCTCTGATACTGCAAGGAGCGTCACATAGTGCGGCGTCTCTCTCGATGCTGTACGACTGGCGCCAGGTGCCTCGAATCGGTCAACGCTAGACTTGAGAAGCAGAGGGAACTGGTTAAGAACGTAACCCAGTTCAGGCGCAACCGTTCCGCCCAGGGCAGTGAGAAGATTCAGCAATAGGGGCAGAACACCCTTGACCCAGATGCTGTAGCATCGCTGGGGTCCAACAGCTTCCGAGAAGGGAGAGATATTTCCGCGGCGCATAAAGTTGGTGATGCCTGCCGAAGTCAGGTGGCTCAGCAAGCCGTCGCAAGCCATCTGTTCTGCCACCGCCGGCAGGGTAGAGAGCTCCAGCAAAAAGAGCAAGCTCAACTCGCCATAGATCGGGTCGCCGTTGATGGAAAGTTTGTCAGCCCAAGAGAAAAGTGATGTCGCTGCGTGCATGGCATCATATGATGCCATAATGTTGAGTACCTGTGTTTGACATTGGTCAATGGTTGGCATGTTGAGACAAGCTTGCAAAATGGCCGTAAGCAGAGCAAGGTCCTCAGGTGCAACGGCAGCCTCGGAATCGTGCACAAGGGCAACGAGAGTTCTGAACCCCTTTGCGACTACTCGGTCGAGAAGGTTCAGAACAGTCTGAGTAAGTGTGATCGAGAAGCCGTCACCTCCGTTCTTCGAGGCTCCCAGGGACTTCTTTTCCGCAGCACTATACGCACGCAGGGTAACATAGATTGCCTTGAGCATCGTGCGGTAGTACGAGATTGATTCCGGGTTGAAGGGCTCCTCGACAGCGCTGATGATGGTGAACAATGTTCCCAGAAGTTGGTTCACATCGTGAGATGAAATGGGACGACCAACGAGACGCTGAACGAGAAGCAAACTCAGATCAGCTCGCTCTTCGACAATCCGCATGAAGATATTCTCTGGGCCTTGGTTGGACCGATTCGCTTCGAGACATTGCTGCGCAACTTGCAACATTTGTCTGGCGATGGTTTCGTTTTCTGCCAGAGAGCTACTAAGCTCAAGAAGCAGGTATTCCCATGCGTGGAACAGCGACTGCGGCAATATCAGTACGGGCCGAAAGGGCAGGTGGGTGTCCAGGTGAGAAACTTACAATCTGCGCGTCAACTAGGGACAGGTTGGCGTTGGCAATCCCCATCTCGTTACGAAACCCATTGTTGCGACGACCATGCCAGCCTGGATCGAAGCTCAACATCTCGGTTGCACTCTCCAGATCATAGAAATAGCTTCTACCTAGCTCGCCAGGTCTCAGTGATGTCCTTTTGAAAGCTTCTAACGAAACTCCGGGGTATTTGCTTGTGAAGTTTTTGGCAAAGTTGCTGTGCAGAGAAGTATTGTAGCTCGAAACTTCTACGCCGTCCCTTAGATAGTAGTCTAGGTCGGATACCAGGCTCTTGGCGAATATGTCGGCCCCGCCCATCTGCCGTAAGTGATAGAGCTGCATGGCGAATATCTCGGCAATGTAAGCGGCCATTTTGGCATCTGTGGCAGCCTTAACGGCATCTGTCTTGCTTGTGACGGTAAAGCTACTGAGGTCCTTGACGTAAAGGCGCAGAGAGTCCAAGAAGGACGAGTCTTTTTGCATGGTGAAGATTGTCCAAGGCCAATGGTTCTGAGATGATGCAACGAAATCGAGGATCCTGACTGCCTCGCTTGTTTCCAACTCTTTGATCTTCTTCAGCTTTGCAAAGGCTGTCGCTAGCACCGAGTTGGGCGTCGATGAAGCGTCCTTCTTGACGCCCTTGAGGGCATCTCTGGGCGTCTTGCCTGTCAAGAGACAGTTTGATAGCCACTGCTGGCGGTTCTGCACAATTGTGGAGAAGAATTTCCACGTTGTCTGCACATCCTTCGCAACGAGGAAGGGCTTGTCGAGTCGCGACAAGACTTCGATAAATGACCGGGACAAAAGGGGACCTAGGTATCCCAGAAGGGAAGGAGGATCATCGTGAGCTTTGGCAGCACTTAGCACCAGAGCCTCCAGGAGGAGCAATGCTGGTCGCCGGAATTGCTCGCAGATTGCACATAACCTTGCCAAAATCGATGACGTCTTGAAGAGGTGTTCTTCAAATGTCGCTGATGGTCTGTCCAGGTAGCTCGCAACACGTAGTAAGGTTGTCGTGAATCGCAAAGCGCATGTGAGCTGTTCCTGAGCTGAGGCTAGTCGATCTTGGTAGAATGTTGAGTCGGGGATTTGGAGACCATTGACCAAAGTTGTGAGGAGCGGCTGGAACCTAAGAGACCCTGTTGAGGGCGAGAGGAACGCATCGATAATGTAGGACGCTGCAGGTTCCAAGCAAGCCGCCAGCGTATCCGCGCTCTCTTGGTCACCCATCCCGTAGGTGTGCTCGATGATCTGATCCATGACAGGGACAACGTGCCGAATGAGCAGTGCTTTGTGAAGCTCTGATCCGAAGCGCCAAGTTGAGGAGGTCTCAAAGACGTCAACCGCGGCTTGAGCAATTGCGAGGCTGACTTTGCCCAAGACTTTGTCCGCCACGCCGAGCCAAACGTTGTTCGATATTTTCTGCCGTCCAACCAGCTTGTTGCCGGATTTGCGTTGAACAGCGCTGCTCTTGACGCTGTCAATGAGGCTAGAAAAAAGCCGTACAGCCGAAAGCAACAGTTCATATCGGTCTCTAACTAAGTCGAGATTACCGGTGATCTTTGCCAATTTTCCTGCTTGGGCTTCCGAATTGAGAAGTTCGCAACGCGCCAAGTAAGACCAGACTCTCGTGGGGCAAAGCGGCAGGATTGCATGTAAGAATTGAACGCATGAGTTGAGCACTGCGATGCCCTGTCCTTCGGTCGCCTTCTCGTCTTGCATATAGGCATCCATGGTCTCGCAGACAACCGCCACAAGGTCTTTGTTCCCGGAGATTTGCTTACCAATTTCATCCAAAAGCTCTTGTCCCGACTTGAGCGATGTTTCGCCGCTCAAGCCCTGCTTTTCAGACTTCAGTACCTCCGCGCGCAGTAGTGTTGCTAAGAGAGCAATAGTTTCTGCGGTTTCCTCTGGCTGGAACGCATCCAGCTCGCTGCGGTAAGTCTCAGGTGCCAGTTGGATTTCGAGCCTCTTGCCAAGCAAAGCAAGAGCAGAGTGCTCATACTCCAATAGAACCACGCGACCCGTATCCGTCACAAAGCGTCCTACTGTTTCCGCAGGTATCCTAAATACGTCGTCCACCCGAGTTCTGCGATTCCATGCCGTGGCAGGCGTGAAAAGCGGTATGTCTTCGAGTAGATAAAATGTGTTGGTATTGTCCTCCTCCTGGGCTAGCTCGTACTGCTGGTAGTCATCGGGGAGAATGAAGGTAAGTGATGGGGTTTTGCGCAAGAGGTTGACTACCGTATCCGTCCGGTCGTCAGCAACGGTGCAGTTCGCCAAAGTCCTGCAAAGATTGAGGAATGGCAGCAACTCAAATGGATATCGGTTGAGGGCCTGGTGGAAGTAATATTCGAGTGCAACATCGTCGTGGAGCACCTCGGCCAAAATATCACTTGAGGCATGCAGCGAAGGCTTCGAAAGGTCCCAATATTGCTGGCCAGCTCCCAGGACCGAAAGGAGAGAGGTGACAGAGTCTGACTGATACCCTACGAGGGGATATGTGGCTTTGAGGAAGTCGACATACGAAAGCCGGATTCTGGAACTCAGAAGTGCCGAGAAGGCTCCGTCACTGGAGGCCCCAATAGCCAGTGCCATCTCGGACAAGACTTCGTAAGCCCGTCCATGCGATGTGACAGCTACTGCCAGCTGCTCCACAACCTGCAAGTCCTTGTCCAAACCCGCATTGGTCAGGAAAATGTCAAATGACTTGCCGTCGAGAGAAACAATGCTCCCTGCAGAAAGACGGCGAGCGGTAGTGGGCCGAATCAAGACACCAGCCTCGAAAGTCTCCTGAGATCGCTGGTTCTGTAGCGCATCTCTCTTTTCGATTCGGTCGTGATGCGAATAGAACATGCGGTGGACAACGACGGTCCATGCAAATATGATGGGGCTTTGGCTCTCGCAATCGGCACTGGCTGCGGCGAGGATTGCATTGTGGACTTGCTCCAATACTGACGGAGCAGTAATGTAGGGGTCCTCGTCTCCACGATATTCAGGGGCCTCTTCGGCGAGACACTCGATAGATCGTGTAGGGTTCAGGAGCTTGATAGATATGGCTGAGATGAGAGATCTCAGGGGCATGATTAATGAGGCAATGGCATCAGTCGGCTGTCCGCTGTTAGTCCTGGCTTCCCAAAGAAGTCTGATTCTTGGTGAACTCACCGCGGTAATCCCGTTGAGAAAACCATAGTTATCCATCAAGGAAAACCACTGGCCAACCACCGCGGATGGTACAAAATCGTCGCCGCTGCCATCGACTGACTGAAAGACGACCGACAAGGCGTGTACAACTTCAGTGAGTGCTGTCCGCATCCATTCCAGCTCGATTTCTTCTCCCAGCAGGCTTTTATCTTCCACAACTGCTTCGAGCCCCTCGGCCAGTCGACCAATAGCCTCAGTGACATACTGCAAGTAGGTCGTGAGCAGATTTTCGAGGTATTTGGGACGCTCGTTCGCGGCGATCAACTGAGTTGTCGCGATCGGAAGATCAGCCGCAGAGGCTGGCGATGAAGGTTGGGTGTAAAGCACGTTCTCCTGCACCAAAGCAGCAGTCATCAGAAAGTGGCGTCTCTCTGCAAGATATGTCTGGAAAATTCGCTGTCGCCTTGACTCCTCTTTCTCGAAATCTGCCCAGATCGTCTCCGCATCCTGGGCGGCACCAGCGATAGGGACGAAAGATGACGATTGTACATTTGCGACGCCAGAAGCTTCCTGGAGGTTGATTATATCCTGGGAGGAGAGGGTTCCTGTTAGGTGGCTAGCTGGTCGCGACTGGAACTCGATGACTGTCGCGCGAAGCGCAGCAACGAGGTTGACCTTGGCATTCTTGCTCAACCACTGCGCATCCTCCTTGATAATTTTGATGTCGAAGTTGTCATTCGGTTTGGGAGTGACGTGTATAGCGGCGGTCCTCGTCTCGAAGTTCGACTTGGTGTGATCGCTCGGCGGCGCAAAGGCGGTCGACGGATCTTTTATGAGTGCTCGTACGAGATCATCTTGTAAAAACTGTACAACAGCTTCGCTCTTCCGCCTGGAGTCATCTTTGTCTGCCAGTGCAGCTGCGATGAGCTTCCAGGAGCTAGTTCAAGGATCAGTTTTCTGGACAATCAGCAAGTCAACAAACGCAGGTCTACCCACATAATGATGGTGTCTCCATTCAAGCATTCCTCCAGAGGAGGAAAGTATTGACGGTCTGCCACTTGCGCCATTGCCGCAGAGGTCGATTGGGCAGAGCAGTCAAGGTCCAGACTGCATCAGGCGAGGCTGCGATGAGCTATGTTGCCTGAGATGCAAAGAAAGTAAGTGGACGCGCTTGTACGCACTTGGACCCGCGAATGCTTTTGCAGCCTCTCTGCAGGTGGTTGACTGGAGCTCCCAAAAAAAGTGAGCTCAAGTTCCATGGTTTTTCCGGAAGTTGGCGCTAAGTCTAATTCGTCTTAGCGCCCGTTCTAGGCTCAATGCCACAATAGGCAGTCCCGGGCGCCGGGTCGCGATATAGCGGCGGGGCGGCCTGTCAGGGTATATTGCAGCTTGCCTCTAGGTACTTGTGCACTGTATTCTCAGTCGCAATGATCATCAATTAGTACAGTAAAAGTATACTCTCCGATATACTGTGCTACAATCAACTTTAGTGAGTCGCCGCCTTTTTATCTTCATTTCAACCCGTCCCATTGACTCACCTCATTCAAACCTCGAATGCCATTACCACCGAAGCGATACTTTTCGTGACAAGAGGCATTGGGATTCAGCAATTCTCTGCTGATTTGACTTACATTCGGCGGCCCCGGCACAATTTGCAAAATGCCGTCCTTAGATATCATCGATCACTCACCCCAGCATCCGGACCCTTCGCCACCAATTCCCACGGCATCCAACTTGATCTTGATCGACAACTACGATTCCTTCACCTGGAATGTCTACCAATACCTCATTCTCGAAGGCGCGAATGTGACGGTCTTCAGAAATGACAAGATCACGCTGGCAGAGCTGATTGACAAGAAGCCAACTCAGTTGATCATCAGTCCTGGGCCTGGACACCCCACCACGGATTCCGGAGTCAGTCGAGAGGCAATCAAGCACTTCTCTGGCAAGATTCCCATATTTGGTGTCTGTATGGGTCAGCAGTGCATCTTTGACGTCTATGGTGGAGAGGTCGGATCCGCAGGGGAGTGGCTTCACGGCAAGACATCCCCTTTGACACACGACGCCAAGGGTGTCTATGCTGGTCTGCGCCAAGGCCTTCCAGTTACCCGTTATCACTCTCTAGCCGGTACACGCGTGACACTTCCAGATTGTTTGGAGGTCACTTCTTGGGTTGCGACAGAGGACGGATCCCCCGGTATCATTCAAGGCGTGCGACACAAGGAGTACACCATTGAGGGTGTTCAGTTCCATCCCGAGAGCATTCTCACCGCAGAGGGCCGGACTATGCTGCGAAACTTTTTGCAACTTCAAGGTGGCACTTGGGAAGAGAACAGCCGGCTCCAGAAGGGCTCCGCGACCAACGGCGCCTCTGCTAAGACGACGTCATCTGCGCCGGCTGCAAGCAAGAAGAACAACATCTTGCAGCAAATCTATGCCCACCGAAAGGCTGCTGTTGCAGCTCAGAAGCTTATTCCCTCGCAAAGACCTGCAGATCTACAAGCTGCGTATGATCTCAATGCCGCTCCGCCTCAAGTCTCCTTCATTGAACGCCTTCGCCAGACCCCCTTCGATGTGTCCCTCATGGCGGAGATCAAGCGAGCCTCGCCCTCAAAGGGCATTTTCGATATCAATATCAATGCCCCGACTCAGGCGAAGAAATATGCCCTTGCAGGTGCCAGCGTCATATCCGTGCTGACTGAGCCTGAGTGGTTCAAGGGCAGCATCGAGGATCTGAGGGCTGTTAGACAAGTTCTGGACGGTATGCCCAACAGACCAGCGATCCTCCGCAAAGAGTTCATCTTTGAGGAATACCAGATTCTTGAGGCCAGACTTGCGGGCGCCGATACGGTCTTGCTTATTGTCAAGATGCTGGAGACGGAACTGCTGGAGAGGCTGTACAAGTATTCTCTTTCCCTGGGAATGGAGCCGCTGGTTGAGGTCCAGACAGCCGAGGAGATGACGACAGCCTTGAAACTTGGATCCAAGGCAATTGGCGTCAACAACCGCAACTTGGAGAGCTTCGAGGTCGACATGAACACAACAAGTAGATTGAGAAGCATGGTCCCAGAAAATACCATCATCTGCGCCCTGAGTGGTATCAACAGTCACCAGGATGTCATTCTTTGCAAGAACGATGGAGTCAATGCTGTTCTCGTGGGGGAGGCCATTGTCAGAGCGCCGGACACAACCAAGTTCATCAGAGAACTCTGTTCTGGTACAGACGCTGAGCCTGAACCGGTCAAGACCCAACCCCTTTTTGTCAAGATTTGCGGAACAAGAACTCCCGAGGCTGCCCTTGAGGCTGTCAAGGCAGGTGCGGACTTTGTCGGAATTTGCTTAGTTCCAGGTGCGAAGCGTTGCATATCTGATGAGACTGCTTCCGCCATCTCAGAAGCGGTACACACCTTCGTACCTACCGCCACACGTACAACAACGAGCATCCCTACAAAATCTGCTACAGATTACTACACTGCGTCTGTCGCCAGACTATCGAGCTCGCGTCCGCTCCTCGCAGGTATCTTCCAGAACCAGCCACTAGACGAGATTCTCGAGAAGCAGAAGCGTTTCAACCTGGACATTGTCCAGCTTCACGGCAATGAGCCGGTTGAGTGGGCCAACCTGATCCCCGTACCTGTTATTCGGGCTTTCAAGCCGAGCAACGTTGGCATCGGGAAGCGAGGCTACCACACCATTCCTCTGCTCGATTCGGGAGCTGGCTCAGGCAAGCTCCTTGACGTCTCCAGTGTCAAGGATATCTTGGCAAAGGATCAGGAGCTGCAAGTCATTCTTGCTGGCGGTCTCAACCCCGACAACGTGCTCGAGGCAGTCAAGGCTGTTGGGGAGTTTGGTGACCGTATCGTAGGTGTTGATGTGAGCAGCGGAGTGGAGGAGGATGGCAAGCAGAGCTTGGAGAAGATTAGAACGTTTGTCAAGAATGCGAAGAGCTTTAGATAGAGAGTTCGTGAAATGAGAAAGTGCCTAAGACTCTGTCAAGCGATCCAATCGAAGACTGTGATATTTGAATATCTGGACTTCAGCTCTGCCACAAAGCCCAGACCTTGATGTTCGCGAATAGTCCTGTCCATGATTCCACATCCTCGCATGACCCAAGACTGCTCTAAGATATGTGAGTAAGCTCAAATTGTGATTATTAGATTGTCAGTTTGCGCTATCCGCTTCTGTTGGATCAATAATCCTGCCTTCAGCTAGATAAAAGGGCAGATATCGACGATACTCAAGATGCCATAGGTTCTTATGAGATCGATGTTTGTCGCATTTCCAGATTTGTATTTTGGATGCCATATTAAATTGATTTCTTGAAATAATTCGGAAGGCATGGTGAGACTTCGCATCTCTCGCGCCTTCCTCCCAGTCTTTCGAGTGCTTCTCCATTTGTATCCTCCCTCCTTCCTTCCCTACTGCCCAGGTTCATTCCTTTACTTCCTCGAATCTCTCCGTATAAAACAGTCACCCTTTTCCCACCAATTCTCTCTTCCACCCCTTCACCCTTTCTACACCCTTTCTACCTCACTCACAGTCTCGGACTGACCTCTTCACACTTTCATCGTCAGCATTGGAGACCCTTCTTGCTCTTACCAACTGAGAACGCCCTTTTACCTTTTTCCCATCCAGTCTTACTCCAGCTCTTCACCCTTCTTACCTCGCTTGAAGTCTCAAGTCGCTCTTGCCTCATCTTCATCAGCAGCATCACAGACTTTGCTTCTCTTATCCCGTTGTCACCAAGTGAGAATTATTCTTTTCAAGCTTCACTTGCAACCATCGACCAAAGTTCATCCTTCACAATGGTTCGAGCAATCTTCAATAAGATGGTCATTACCGCTGCTGGAGACTTCCCTAGTGGTTGCTCCAGAGAGCAGATGGTCCAGTGGGTTAAGATGCGCAAAGGCAAATTCTCACGTCATTTGGACGAGAAGACGACCCATCTGCTATTCACCGATGAGGAGTTCAAGTCCAAGAACAAGCCCCACCGAAGTAAGGTCACCTTTCTCTTCAAATAACATTTTCTCCCCTCATGTTTCATTCCTTTCCTTTTGTTCCTTGCCCAGAAGCTAATTGTCTTTGTTATCTCTCAGTCAAAGAAGCAGAGAGAAGAAGCAAGACGAAGGGCGCGAAGAAAATTCACATTGTGAGCTGGAGTTGGTTCACCAAATCTTGCGGCGACAACATGAAACTCGCAATGAGGGAATACAAATACGATGCCATGAAGATCAAAGAGAAGAAGGATGCCAAAGCAGAGATCGAAAGGGCCCGGGCTGCAGCGTCTGCTTACAGGTGGATTCGTCCTGGTCAGTGAAGATTCATCAATCCTATTGCTTGAACACCGTTGACGTATCAATCCAGAAATGTACAGTGTCGCCAAAGACCTGACCTCCTTCGAGTACAAGGTTGATCTCTTCCGATCGTCTGAGAATGAGGATGGAACTCTGCACGAGAAGTACGAACTCTACGTAAGTCACAAGCGTTTATCCTTTCTGACTGGCTATCACAAACTTGAAATCGAGTCCAGCTGACATGTGGTGCTAAAAACTCAAGTTCTTCCGGTCTCACTCCTCTAGGCCGCACTTGTACTGGTTTGGCGCAAAGCTTTTCCATAAGAAGGACAACGGCAAGTGGGTTGAGCGCGGCATTGAGCGCCCGAGTCCCTGTTGTTCATCCTTCCGGAACGAGTATGACAGATTCAGAAAGTTCTTCGAGCTGAAGACCAAGATTCGCTGGGCAGACAGGGTCGCCAGAGCTGGAACCCAAGAGAAAACTGCGTTCAGTTACTCCCCTCCGGTAAGATCATCCTACCAATCAAATTGAGGCTCGAAATAGCAATCAACACTTGCTTACAATGAACCTTAGACTGGTGGAAAACCCGTGGGTTGCAGAATGGTCGGTGCACTTTACAACAAGGCGCTCAGAAGCAACAAGAAGATGCTTCGACGCTACGCTGAGCTCTTTGGAGATGAGTTGCCGTCCGACATCCAGATCGAAGACGCATGCAATGACGTCTTGAAGGACATCATCGACGAGGTTTGCGCAACCCCTGAGATTGATGCCA